TTGAACCACCAGCCTTCTGGTTAGCAGTCAAATGCCTTAGGCACTACGCCACCAGAGCTCCAAATATAGGGAGAGTTTTTGTTTGTCTCTATTATCTAACATTTGCATATTGTCTCGACTCCTATATGCCTCTTCATCTCTTTTATTACATGCAGTCATGATATTTGAAAATGTATAGAAATAGGTCGAGGTCTAAGAGATGTTATCTTCTCCAAAGAGATTCCTTTTTTCTTTTTAATTAATTAATACACACACACACACACACACACACACAGTGATTTGGGTAAAGCTTTACAGAGCAAATTCACTTTCCATACAGCAGTTCACATACACTTTGTCTCATGACATTGACTACAGCTGACCACAATGCAACAGCTCCCCTCCCACTTCCTCCCCATAGTTACCTCTTCCCTGTGTCCATCCCTCCATGGACTCCTGCCCCCTGAGCTGTCTCCCTGTGTATAAGCAGCCCTTTCCAAAGAGAATTCTTATTTGCTTTTGCTTGGTGTCTCAGACTCTAACAATCTAGGCATTAATCCAAAAAATCAGGGAGTTGAAAGGATGAGGAGCTGAGCTGGCTCCAGACACTGTGAAGGCTAATCTACTTCCATTTCTCCCTTATTTTCAGGGTACAGCCCCTTGTGGTCTCAATCCAAATTGCAGAGGATTTATCCCCCCCCACCCCTGCCCACTGCCCACTGCCATGGTCTCCCACAACCCTTTGGAGGGATCTGAACACACCAGTTTTTGTGCCAGGTGGCTAGAGAGTACATCCCACAAGGCTGGTACAACAGATCAAGTGACAGGCAATGAAGATGAGAATCTGGACAGTGGTAGGTGGATGAGGCAGAAATACTGCCTTTGGTGTGCCTCAAAACCATCCCATAGGGCCCGCAGACTCACAGCCATAGGGGTTGGTGCTTTTAAAGGTGACATCAATGGGAAAGTTCCACACCAGCGCTTGGCGTACATCTTGGCTTTTGGATGTGATCTGTGAGATCCCTTCCTCCAAACCCTGTGAGGACAATGACATTGACAGATACTATCCAAACTTTACAGTGCCACACCCCTCCCCTTACCTTGGGAGTGGCAGTTGGGAGAACAGTTTGGGGAGACAGTTTGTTTAACTATCTTCTGCCAAGACAGGACTTTCCAAACAAAGGGAAATAATAAATAATGTATCAATTCTTAGGTCTGGTACTTCAATATTGCAAAAATGGTGGCAGCACTGTCCTCTGACCTCCTCTAACTTCACTAGAGGGATGGAGGATCCAGAACAACATCAATAGCCCAAGGTTGATTCCTATAAGGCAAAAGTCAGACATGCTGCCACCCTCCAACCATTTTACCAATTCTGACACCATCTGTCTCTCCCGTGGCACTGTCTACTTATCTGCTTGGTTTGATAATTCGTTGCAATGGCTACACAGAATTCATGGACAATATTCATGATTATGGGTTTTTTTTAGGGAAGTAACAGGTTATAATTCAGGTTCAGGAACACTCAGGATATAATTCTTTGATCTGAACAGCTTCTTTTCTGCCATGTTGCAGGGATGCTTTTCTCTGGCCTCAGCTTCTGCCCCGGCCAGTGTTACAAAGCTCTTTGAGCTCTGCCATGCCCAAGAGTTACCCCATTCTACCAGGAAGCTTCCTGCCCAAAGGCACTCAGCTTTCTCACTCTGTGGGCTGTTAAGTCCACTGCTCTGTCTCATGCCAGTCTCTTGGTTCTGCTGCCTCTGCTTCAGCCATCTCTCTGCCAAGGAGGTCCAGCATAGGGATCTTGGGTCCAAGAATATGCTCCATTCCCATCTCTTCTCTCTTGATGGCAGTGAGATTTCCCCCTTTCTGCCTCTGGGGTGGCTCATTTTAAGCCTAGTGGCACGATAAAACTCACTATTCCCCATGTTAAAGTTCCATACACATAATTTGCATGGTCCCACCCCACAAGGGTGTTATGTACCTTATTTATATTATTAACAAGCTATCTAATCCTCTTGGATTAAGCACCTCACATTTACATAGTTCTACCCAGTCTTCTGGTGGGAGTCCCATAGACCATGGCCAGAAGAGCCCCACCAAGCAATTCCCTGCACCACAAATATATTACCTCCTAATGGTTTGACAAGGAGCTCTAGTGATGGTTAAAAGCATTCAGCTGCTAACCAAAAGGTCAGCGGTTCAGACTCACCAGCTACTCTGTGGAAGTAAGATGCAGCAGTTTGCTTCCATAAAGATTTATAGCACTGGAAACCCAATGGAGGTCACTGTGAGTTGGAATCAACTCGATGGCAGTGAGTTTGGTTTTTTGCTTTGTTGTCTGACAACCTTGGAATCAAACTCGCTAACTGTGCACTTGGTCTCATCCCCTCTTGCCTCCTGAAGAAAACATTTTGTCAGTTTTGACTCTCTTTCCTGTATCATCAGTTTTACTCAGATAACTCCCATCAGCATACATACATATGTTACTTTTTTCTCTATCACAAGACAAGACTCTTTTGTCTTACTTCTTCCTCTAGCTATCAACCCATCCTTTGGTCCCCTTTACAGCAAAACTCCTTGCAAGAGTGGTTCATCTTCATCACCTCTGATTTCTCTTCTGTTTGTCCTTCATGACACCAATCTGATGACTGGCCCCACCACTCTACCTAAGCATTCTCATACGTTATACAAGGTCACAACCCTGCTAGATCCAACAGCCATATCTCTGTCCTTTCAGCAGCATTTAACATAGTGGCATGCACTCTTCTTCTGAACACACCTCCTTTCCTCATTTTCTGGAATATCATAAGCATCTGGGTCTTGCTAGCACATGGGTAGCTCCTGTTTAGTCTCTCCTGCTAGTGCTTCTTAATGCTGGAGTGTCCCAAGGCTCCATCTTAGGCCTGCTCTTTTGCTGTGCCTGTGGTCTCATACAGGCTCACACCTTTAAATGTGGTCTATATGTTGATGATCTCCAACTCTGTCTCCAGCCCGGTCCTCTCCTGTGAACTCCAGATCAGTATCTTCCCACTGCTGCAGCCTACCTCACATCTCCACCTGGATACCTAGTAGTGAACCTTACCATATGCCAGACTGAACTCTACACATCTGCTCTCTCCATAGTCTTCTCACATGACAGCAACTGTAACTGCAAGTGCTCAGGCTAAAAACCCTACTGTCATTCTTAATGCTTCTTTCTCTCATATCCCACATCTAGTCCAACAGGAAAAACTGTTGGCTCCAACTTGAAAATATACTCAAAATTCAACCATCTTCTTCGCCACTCCACTGTCACCATCCTTGTCCCTGTCATCATTTTCTTCCCCCTGCATTACTGTAATAGCTAATTAGTCTTCCTACTTCTGCCCTTGCTCCCCCCCTCAACAGTCTATCCTTAACATGGAAGCCAGCGAGATCATGTTAGAACATTATGTCACATCACCTCTTTTCTCTGTTCAAAATCCTCTGATCTCTGGTCTCATCATATACCAAGTCAAGGTCAAGGCCCTTCAAGACTTGCTGTTCATGTCCTCTCTGTTCCACCTCCAGCCATTTTCCTCCTTACTTACAATGTTCATGGCCATCCTGGCCTCTTTGTTGTTGTGTGTCATCAAGTCTAGGGTTTCCTAGTCTACTTTATGAAAGAAAGCAGATCACTGCAGAGCTTCTGGGTGAGTTCAGACCACACACCTTTTGGTTTGTAGTCAAGCACTTAACTATTGAACCACCAGGGCTCCTTCTGGCCTCTTTACTGGCAAGGGCCCTCCTCTCCTTGCTCACTCTGTTCATGGGCCACATTGGTTTCTTCACTGCTCCTTAAGCATGCCAGGCACCCTCTTGCCACAGGGCTTTTGTTCCCTCTGCCTGGAAAGTTCTTTCCATAGATTTCCTCATAGCTTGTTCCCTCACTTCCTTCATATCTAGATTCCAAAAACCAAACTAGTTGCTGTCAAGTCAATTCTGACTCATGGAAACCCCTTGATACCAAATTCACTCCTTTCCTTCACTTCCCATTTCTGACTTTTTTCCCCTTCAGTACTTACTACTAATATTCTATTTAGTATTTATTATTATCTATCTCCTCCCACAAGAATGTATACTCCAGGAAGACAGGGACTTTTGCCTGGTTTTGTTCACCACTGTATCCCCAGCACCCAGAAGACTCTCAACAGTTATTCAATAAACAAGTGAATAGAAAATAAATACTGTCATCTTAGTTGTACAGATGAGGAAACAGAGACTCAGAAAAGTTAACCAAGTTGGGCATGCATTTCCCTAACTGCTGTGAGGCTTAAACAAGCACTGTCCAAGCAGTAAAGTGTGGTGTGGGCTGAAGACATCACCACAATTTCTCTCCTGGAGGAGACAGACTGTCCTGTGGGAAGAAAAGGAATGACAGATCCTGTTCTGTCTTCTGTCTCTCCAAAGAACTCTCCAAAGGCTGAGGAGTGGCCAAATGATGGGGGGGACTGGCCCACAATGTTTACAGCTCACCCCTCCCAGGCTGGCTCTCTGGAGCCTGCCTGCTGCATTGCACCTGTGCTCTTCCTTGCCACCATATGTAAGCTCACAGAACAGTATATGTGAGTGAGTATAGTCTGGGGAGGAGGGAGTGTATGTGGGCGCCCAACTATGGCTTTCTCCATTCCAGCTTTACTAGGAACAAACTCATGCTTTGGTTCCTCTCCAAACTCTGTCTCTCACTCAACAGGTTCTGAACTAGGAAGGGAAGGGGTATGATGGACAACTTTAGGAATCCCAATAATTACAAATGGTACAAGTAGAGGAGGCCCAAGAGTCTAGCTTACCGCTGTGGGGGCCCAGTCCTGTCCATACACGAAGCAGTACTTGCAGTAGAGGTCATCATACTCTGGAAACTGTGGAAGTAAGTACACATCAGTTCTGTTTACTGGGACTCATGCAGAGGCCTATCAACATGTCAGCTAGGCCGGTACAACCAACAGGAATTCTGAACATGAGCCTCCTAGGATGGGGCCTAAGAGCCAGCTGGATATGGGTACATCAGAAAGGCTGTGCTGAGGACTGAGCTGTGGGAGTCTGGAGAAGAGTTCTAGGCTGCTACAGCCCTTAGGCATTTGCTCAAGCTCTACATTCTGTCTGATAGATTCTCCTACTCCTGCATCTGGCAAACTCCTGCTCCTCCTTCAAAACTTACCCTTCTGGAAGCCTGCCTTAACGTCCATCAAAGCTTCCCTCCATCAAAGCACTAATTCCTGTGTCTGTCTGTCAACCCCATTAGACTACGCACAAGGAGCATGGGGTAGGCACAGAAGAGGTCTAAGAGGATGGTGCCCAAGTGAAAGGTCTGACCCAGAAAGACATCAAGACACACAGGTTACAAGTACAGACCCAGCCCGGCTGACAGCTCCTAATTAGATAGAACAGGGGAAGGGTGAAAGATAGCCTCAGGTGCTAGGCAAAGGGGGAAGTGGACAGGGTGGGAAGCAAGAGGCAGAAGTATCCCTGAGGAAACTGGGGAAGGCTGGAAACACCTACTAAGTCAGGCCCTGGGCACAGCCTTACTTAAAACATTTAATTTAACCCTCACATATAATAATAAACACCATTTCCAATACCCCATAAGGTCAGTATTATGGTGTAACAAAGCTCTGAAGTCAGAGAGACCTTGGTTCAAACCCTAGCTCTGCTGCTTCCTTTGTACAAGTTTTCCCATGTGTAAAACAAGAATATTATTAATAGCCACTTCACAGTATTGTTGTGCTGACTGAATGAGAAGTGCTGAGGCCTGCATTTGGAGCACAGTAAATACTTGACACACACTGGCTTTTATTTATAATAATTAACTGTTTTTATAAAGTGTTGGGGGGTGGAAAGTAGTGTCCCCTTTGCTCTGATAGGCATACCTCCCTGGATGATTCCAGGACACCACCATTGTTGGCTTGGATTACCCAAACTATCGCCACTGCAATCTGAGTTCAAGGATCTGAGGCTCTTGAGACACGAATAGATATATGTGCACCCATGTTCATCGCAGCACTATTCACAATGGCAAAGAGATGGGAACAACTTAAGTGCCCATCAATGGATGAATGGGTAATCAAACTATGGTACATACATACAACAGAATACTAAGTAATACCAAATAATAATGAAGAATCCACAAAACACATCATAACAAGGATGAATTTGACAGACATTACACTGAGTGAAGTGAGTTAATAACAAAAGAACAAATACTGTATAAGACCGCTATTGTAAAAAGTCAAGGAAGGGTTTACACATGGAAGGAAACTTGCTTTGTTGGTTACCAAGGATGGGAGGGAAAGTGAGGGAAAATTGCTAGATAGGTACACATACTGATTTGGGTGAAGAAAAAGGCAATATACCAAAAGCAAGTGAGCAGTACAACAACAGTAAGGAAAAGGAAGACACGGAAAGGTGTACAACACATAGACAACAAAAGTAAACACTTTCACATACATGTTGTTGTTGTTGTTGTTAAGTGCCGTCGAGTCGTTTCCGACTCATAGCGACCCCATGCACAGCAGAACGAAACACTGCCCGATCCCGC